ATCCTGTTTGGTGCTGTTTGGTGCTGTTTGGTGCTGTTTCTACTGTTTTGTGCTGCTTGATGCTGTTTGATGCTGTTTTATGGTGTTTGGTGCTGTTTGGTGCTGCTTTGTGCTGTTTCTACTGTTTTGTGCTGCTTGATGCTGTTTGATGCTGTTTGATGGTGTTTGATGGTGTTTGGTGCTGTTTGGTGCTATTTGATGGTGTTTGGTGCTGTTTGGTGCTGTTTGGTGCTGTTTGATGTTTACTGTTTCAATTCCAGTTTCTATGTTCTAAATATAAATTCACGAGTTCAAGGTCTCACGTGCATGACCAAGGTCAAGTCAAGTTGTTTGAAAGATAAAGAAACTTGTCACAGATTTAACAAATTGATGACAGCGTGCACATGATCGCTGTTTGAAATCTTGTCAGTTTTAACAAATTGATGACAGCGTGCTCATGATCGCTGTTTGAAATCTTGTCAGTTTTAGCAAATTGATGACAGCGTGCTCATGATCGCTGTTTGAAATCTTGTCAGTTTTAACAAATTGATGACAGCGTGCACATGGTCGCTGTTTGAAATCTTGTCAGTTTTAGCAAATTGATGACAGCGTGCACATGGTCGCTGTTTGAAATCTTGTCAGTTTTAGCAAATTGATGACAGCGTGCTCATGATCGCTGTTTGAAATCTTGTCAGTTTTAGCAAATTGATGACAGCGTGCTCATGATCGCTGTTTGAAATCTTGTCAGTTTTAACAAGAAAGCTGCATTTTGACAGAGGCGATCAACTTGACAAATAAAGCGTTAAGCGCCGAGGGTCAGATTTGTCAATCTCATGGCGAGTGGTTCAGAGAGTTGGGATTCAGAGCATGTTCCTAACACTGGGGTCGGGGGAGGGCTGGGGGCGGAGGTGGGGTGGGCTGGGGGCGGGGTTGGGTGGGCTGGGTTGGGGTTGGGGTGGGCTGGGGGCGGTGTTGGGTGGGCTGGGTTGGGGTTGGGGTGGGCTGGGGGCGGGGTTGGGTGGGCTGGGTTGGGGTTGGGGTGGGCTGGGGGCGGTGTTGGGTGGGGGAGGGCTGGAAACATTTTAGTTACATTCCTGGCTTCAGGCCTACACTACTCCCTCTCTCTTGTGCTCTCTGTATTCTGCCCTCTCTCTTGTGCTCTCTGTATTCTGCCCTCTCTCTTGTGCTCTCTGTATTCTGCCCTCTCTCTTGTGCTCTCTGTATTCTGCCCTCTGTATTCTGCCCTCTGTATTCTGCCCTCTCTCTTGTGCTCTCTGTATTCTGCCCTCTCTCTTGTGCTCTCTGTATTCTGCCCTCTCTCTTGTGCTCTCTGTATTCTGCCCTCTGTATTCTGCCCTCTGTATTCTGCCCTCTGTATTCTGCCCTCTCTATTCTGCCCTCTGCCTAGTAGGGTGTGTGAACAGTTGACGATGTGGCTATCTGGACGTCTGTTGTGTGGATGTGTGAATAGAAAAATGAACTTCCGCACACACATAAAAAAAAAACTGCGAAATAATTCCGGAAATTGTCGACTGCTAGTTTGAAATAAAGTACTTCTCTTTTGTTCTACATCAACACGTATCTTGTGTTCTAGTTCAACACGTATCTGGTGTTCTACTCATGTCACTCTCCCCCTCCCCCACTATACACCGCCCCTGGCTAGGGTGGAGGCAAGTTTGAGAGAGACGATTCTTTCCGTAAAAACACTAGACTGGATATTGTCTGCGGTCATTGAAGACGTGAAAGAAACCTTGTAAGCCCAGGGAGTAAGGGGAGAGAACTGAGGACCGTGAGCTAAGGGACATCACTAGTCACACACGGCGTTCAGAAGTTAAACGACGCTCCAAGCGTTTCTTTATCTTGGCGTGCCCCCCCCCCCCCGACAGCCAACCGTTGGCCCAGTTTGACGTCACACGTGTCATACAACTGACTCAGTGGAGTGTGTATACTGTCATGTAACACTGTACCACAATTTCTTTTATACTTACACAATTATGTTTGAAAATTAAATTTGAAATTTACTCCAATATTTTCTCAGCTGAGAGTTTTTTGAAAATTACCACCGTCGATTTTTTTTTATTTCTAGATTTGCAAACATTTGCTTGAATTATTGCAAGTATTGACAATATTTTTTTTCTTTCAAAATAAAAGGAATTATTAATAAACAAAACCAAAACAAAACTTCTAGTTCGAAATTTTTTATAACTAATTAAATAAACCGTGAGTGATCTCCCCTAAACTTTCTCGAATATTATTATATAACACTACGTGGGATGGCAACACGGGATATAAACATGATTTTTAATTACTTAAACTTTTGAAAATAGAATAGAAACTCGTAGAAAAAAGAATTGCGCACCAAGCGAACGCTAAACATAAAGTGCATAATAGTGCGGAATATTATTAGTACTTTATAAATTTACATGCGTTTTTTTTTTAGAAATCGGAAATAGCGTATATTACTACTTCCGGTCAACGGAAATTACTCAAAATGTGATAGAAGGAAGATAATTAAATCTTTTACTTACATGTGAAATTTCATTTATCTATCTGAAACAGAACTCAAGTTATAGGCTTTTGAAAAATTCAAAGTAGAAAAAGTTCCACTTCCGGTTATCGGAAATCACTCAAAAGTTGATAAGGATCTACGATTTTGATATAGTACTTATATATGAAATTTCATCAGCCTAGCTGTAATGGTACTCAAGTTATCGTGTTTACAGACACACACACACACAGAAAGACACAAACACTCACACAGACATATGGACAAAATTGCAAAATTATGTTTTTCCAACGTCGAGATTTGTAAAAATCTCAATTTTTTTTTTTGCACGATTTCAAGACTTTCACTATAGGCCTACTCTGTATATACGTGAAAGTAAAAAATAAACAAAAAAGCAGGTAAGATTTTAAAATAAATTAAACAGAAAAACAGTGGGTTTTTTTAATAAATGGTCTAAGAGTTTCTAAGGAAAAATAAAAATTTAAATGCACTGAAAATAAAAATAAAAACTAATTTGATTGTTTTTTTTTAGTAAAATCATATTCCACATATTAACTGGGAATATGTGGGTGATCTCCCCTAAACTTTCTCGTATTTTCTTTCGCCACAGCAAGGGGATGGCACTTTCAGTGCAATTTGGCTGTGAAAATATAAAAGTTTTTTTTTTACAAGCCGTCCTCTTTTCCCCGCCAGAAAACACACACAACTGAAAATGTCATAGAATAAGCTTTATGAGAAGGTGAAATAAAATTTTCAGATTCTCAAGTTCTTTGGGGAATCGGAAATGTCTAAAAGCCACTTTTTACTTTCTCGTATACAGAGTAGGCCTATAGAGGAAATGTTGTAATCATGTACAAAAATCACATGAAATTTTTAGTCTTCATCGTTTTACACCTCAGTACTTCACCAAAAGCCTATAACTTGAGAACTGTTTAAGATATATGAATGAAATTTCACGTAGAAATAAAAGATCTATTTCTCTGCCTCCATTTAAATTTCTAGTAATTTCCGTTGACCGGAAGTAGTAATTAACGCTACTTCCAATTTCTAAAAAAAAACAACAACAACCGATTATGAATTTATAAAGTACTAATATTTCGCATAATCCAGACATTGTTTGCCGTTCACTTAGTGCGCAATTCTTTTTTTTTCCAGATCCTATTCCATTTTGAAAAGTTTAAGTAATTAAAAATGGATTAAAATCATGTCTACATCCCGAGTTGCTATCCACCGTAGAGTTATATAAGAATATTCCAGAAAGTTTAAGGGAGATTACTCCCGTTTTATTTCGCTGTATTAAACACAATTTTATCAGAATAGAATCGCGTAGAAAAAAGAATTGCACTCCGAAAGTGATGTAACATTATCAGATTTCTATGGATTATTTAGAATTCGGAAATAGTGAAAAGTACTATTTTCGGTAACCGGACATAACTTTAAATTTGATTGAATCAAGTGCACAGGATCTTGTACTTAAGAATGAAATTTATCTACATAAATAAATGTGTAAATTTGCTTTGGGTATTTTAGAAACCTAAAAATTGAGTAGTTACAAGTTCCGCGTATCGGAGATCAATTAAATTATCTCAAAAATTAAAAGTAATCCAAGTATCTTATACTTTCAAATGAAATATGGTCAACTTTGCTGAAATAGTACTTAAGTTTTTGTGTTCACATGGAAATAAGTAACTTAACATTTCCGGTTAACGGAAATCATTCAAAAGTTGACAGAAACCTGCGCATACAAGAAAATTCGTCCACTTAACTTGAACGGTACTCCATTATTGGAGGTGGCATCTTTTTGTGACATCTTATGGTGACATCTTATGGTGACATCTTATGGTGACATCTTATGGTGACATCTTATGGTGACATCTTATGGTGACATCTTATGGTGACATCTTATGGTGACATCTTATGGTGACATCTTATGGTGACATCTTATGGTGACATCTTATGGTGACATCTTATGGTGACATCTTATGCTGAACACATTAGTCGAAGTCTGACTTGGTCAATTGATCTAGTGTTTAGTAGGTCAAATATCGGTGACCTTTAGTAGGTCAAAGTGGAAACCTCCTATTGTCTTTCTTGGGTATGACCTTTGGAACCATACATTGATACATATTTGACCTAGACCGTTATAAAGTGGTGATACCATGGTGATACAGACAAACTGAGATGATTGTATAAAACAACATTGAGATGGTTACATTCCCCTCCCCTGTGGTCCCTCCCCTGTTGCCCCTCCCCCCTACCCCCCCCTACCCCCATGTATAGACGTGTAGGAAATAAAATACTGCCGTAAGGTTTGTCTAGATAAACAACGAACTCATCAAGTGAAACAAGATCGCTGTCCTGTAGGACCCAGATATCAGATCACCCTCAGATCTTTAGTTACACAAATCAGTTGCTACTAACGACCAATCAACTGAAACAACCCATTCAATGGCTTTATTTCTCCATTCAATGGCTTTTTTTTCCATTCAATGGCTTTATTTCTCTCTCTTTTCAGAGCTGACCGTCACGGAGAAACCAGACGTGACAGCAAACGCCGTGACGCTGGCGTGACACAGCGTGACACAGTGTGACACAATGTGCTCTATGTTTTTGTTCTGAACCACTGCATGCGTCAAATAAAGATTGGAAACTTTTCCTGTGGTTGGCTTTCATTTCATGTGGTCAAACGTTTGGTGTGGTTGGCTTTCATTTCATGTGGTCAAACATTTTATGTGGTTGGCTTTCATTTCATGTGGTGGTCAAACGTTTTGTGTGGTTGGCTTTTTTATGATGACTGAGACACACAGACGTCAAGATGACTGAGACACTCAGACGTCAAGATGACTGAGACACACAGACTTCAAGATGACTGAGACACACAGACGTCAAGATGACTGAGACACACAGACGTCAAGATGACTGAGACACACAGACGTCAAGATGACGTAGACATCTGCCTATTTGCCTGTTTTTGATTTGGATTATTTTTCCAATTAAAGTCGACTTAATAACCAGATCATGTGACACGGGAGCCCTCCCTCATTAAAAATTAAACCCGTGTTCAGATTACTGCAGTCAACATAGAAAAATGAAACTAATCAAGAACGGAAATTATTTTTAGCTTGCTGGTTAGTGTTGAGTCACGAGTGGTGTGATAGAAAAAACTGCGACAGTCACTGGTGGTCTGCCTGTCTAAACTTGAGGAGATGATACAACTAACTGCGACAGTCACTGGTGGTCACCCTGTCTAAACTTGAGGAGATGATACAACTAACTGCGACAGTCACTGGTGGTCTGCCTGTCTAAACTTGAGGAGATGATACAACTAACTGCGACAGTCACTGGTGGTCTGCCTGTCTAAATTTGAATAGATGATACAACTAACTGCGACAGTCACTGGTGGTCTACCTGTCTAAACTTGAGGAGATGATACAACTAACTGCGACAGTCACTGGTGGTCTACCTGTCTAAACTTGAGGAGATGATACAACTAACTGCGACAGTCACTGGTGGTCTGCCTGTCTAAACTTGAGGAGATGATACAACTAACTGCGACAGTCACTGGTGGTCTGCCTGTCTAAACTTGAGGAGATGATACAACTAACTGCGACAGTCACTGGTGGTCTGCCTGTCTAAATTTGAATAGATGATACAACTAACTGCGACAGTCACTGGTGGTCACCCTGTCTAAACTTGAGGAGATGATACAACTAACTGCGACAGTCACTGGTGGTCTGCCTGTCTAAACTTGTTGTTGAGGTGTTGTAAGGGGGGGGGGGGGGTGAAGGTTTTGTTTGTGTGTGTGGGGGATGGGGGGGGGGGGATAATTTGGCGAGCTCCAGGAGATATCAAGATTTAAAAAAAAAATTTCTGGCTGAGAGGATTTCTTCCATCCCTTGTAAGTTCAACGATAATAGGGGAATTTCAAATTTGGAGGAAATAAATTAATTAAATAATAAAAACAACTTTTATTGATTGCACATCGATCAAACATAAAACCACGTCAATGATTCAATTTTGAATGTCCACGTCAATTACTAAATCTTGACCTCTGCAAGTCATTGACTAAATGTTGACCTGTGCAAATTATAAGCTACCGTCTGTGTTTACTGACAGTCGTGTCTTTAGAAGATGCTACCTCTAGAAGATGCTAACTCTAGAAGATGCTACCTCTAGAAGATGCTACCTCTAGAAGATGCTAACTCTAGAAGATGCTACCTCTAGAAGATGCTACCTCTAGAAGATGCTACCTCTAGAAGATGCTACCTCTAGAAGATGCTACCTCTAGAAGATGCTACCTCTAGAAGATGCTACCTCTAGAAGATGCTACCTCTAGAAGATGCTACCTCTAGAAGATGCTACCTATTTAAGGTGCAACCTCTAGAATACGTTTCCAATTGAAGATGCTACCTTTATTTGTCTGAGATGTTTTGTCTGAGATCATTTGTCCATGATATCATTTGTCCTGATATATTTTGTCCTGGTATCATTTGCCCGTGAGATCATTTGTCCTGAGATCATTTGTCCTATCACAATATATATATATATATATATATATATATATATATATATATATATATATATATATATATATATATATATATATATATATATATATATATATATATATATATATATATATATATATATATATATATATATATGTAGAAGGATGGATGGAAAGATGGATGGATGGACGGACGGATGGACGGATGGACGGATGGACGGATGGACGGATGGACGGATGGACATATATTATATATATATATATATATATATATATATATATATATATATATATATATATATATATATATATATATATATATATATATATATGTAGAAGGATGGATGGAAAGATGAATGGATGGACGGACGGACGGACGGATAGACGGATGGATGGATGGACGGATGGATGGATGGATGGACGGATGGATGAATGGATGGACGGATGGATGGATGGACGGATGGATGGATGGACGGATGGATGGATGGAAGGATGGATGGATGGATGGATTGATAGATACATATATAGATACATAGATAGATACATAGATAGATACATAGATAGATACATATATAGATACATAGATATATAGATAGATAGATACTTAGATACATAGATACATAGTTTGATACATATATAGATAAATATCTAGGTGTATTGCCGTGACGTTTGTATTGTATAAAACTGAACGTGATCTACTGATACGACGAGTGTCTAATTACAAGTGTACCAATAAGATTTTATCAGATTCAAATAATTAAAATTGAAATTGAAAATGTTTTAATTGTCTGCCGTTACCGTGAAATTTCGGAGACGTCGTGTCTCTGATTGCAAAAATAATTAGATATGGGTTAATTAGATTTTCAAGAGAAATTGGACCAGGTAGGGTTAACATCGGGTGTGACACCAGTAAAAACACGAGGAGTAAATCGTGCATCATTACATGAGCTACATCTTGACATGTGTTACATCTTGACATGTGCTACATCTTTACATCTTGACATGTGCTAAATCTTGACCTGTGCTACATGTTGACATGTGCTACATCTTTACATGTGCTACATCTTTACATCTTTACACGTGCTACATCTTTACATGTGCTACATCTTTACATCTTTACACGTGCTACATCTTTACATGTGCTACATCTTTACATGTGCTACATCTTAACATGTGCTACATCTTTACATGTGCTACATCTTTACATGTGCTACATCTTTACATGTGCTACATCTTGACATGTGCTACATCGTGACATGTGCTACATCTTTACATGTGCTACATCTTTACATGTGCTACATCTTTACATGTGTTACATCTTTACATCTTTACATGTGCTACATTTGACATGTGCTATATCTAGCCATGTGCTACATCTTTACATGTGCTACATCTTTAAATGTGCTACATCTTTACATGTGCTACATCTTTACATGTGCTACATCTTTACATGTGCTTCATCTTGACATGTGCTACATCTTTACATGTGCTACATCTTTACATGTGCTACATCTTTACATGTGCTACATCTTTACATGTGCTACATCGTGACATGTGCTACATCTTTAAATGTGCTACATCTTTACATGTGCTACATCTTTACATGTGCTACATCGTGACATGTGCTACATCTTTACATGTGCTACATCTTGACATGTGCTACATCTTTACATGTGTTACATCTTTACATGTGCTACATTTGACATGTGCTATATCTAGCCATGTGCTACATCTTTACATGTGCTACATCTTTAAATGTGCTACATCTTTACATGTGCTACATCTTTACATGTGCTACATCTTTACATGTGCTACATCTTTAAATGTGCTACATCTTTACATGTGCTACATCTTTACATGTGCTACATCTTTACATGTGCTACATCTTTACATGTGCTACATCGTGACATGTGCTACATCTTTAAATGTGCTACATCGTGACATGTGCTATATCTTTACATGTGCTACATCTTTACATGTGCTACATCTTTACATGTGCTACATCGTGACATGTGCTACATCTTTACATGTGCTACATCTTGACATGTGCTACATCTTTACATGTGCTACATCGTGACATGTGCTACATCTTGACATGTGCTACATCTTTACATCTTTAAATGTGCTACATCTTGACATGTGCTACATCTTTACATGTGCTACATCTTGACATATGCTACATCTTGAAATGTGCTACATCTTTACATGGGCTAAATCTTTACATGTGCTACATCTTGACATGTGCTACATCTTGACACGTGCTACATCTTTACATGTGCTACATCTTGACATGTGCTACATCTTTACATCTTTAAATGGGCTACATCTTGACATGTGCTACATCTTTACATGTGCTACATCTTGACATGTGCTACATCTTGAAATGTGCTACATCTTTACATGGGCTAAATCTTTACATGTGCTACATCTTGACATGTGCTACATGTTTACATGTGCTACATCTTTACATGTGCTACATCTTGACATGTGCTACATCTTGACATGTGCTACATCTTTACATGTGCTACATCTTTACATGTGCTACATCTTGACATGTGCTACATCTTTACATGTGCTTAATCTTTACATGTGCTTCATCTTGACATGTGCTAAATCTTGACATGTGCTAAATCTTGACATGTGCTACATCTTGACATGTGCTACATCTTGACATGTGCTACATCTTGACATGTGCTACATCTTTACATGTGCTACATCTTTACATGTGCTTCATCTTGACATGTGCTACATCTTTACATGTGCTACATCTTTACATGTGCTACATCTTGACATGTGCTACATCTTGACATGTGCAAAATCTTGACATGTGCTACATCTTGAGCTGTGCTACATCTTGACATGTGCTACATCTTGACATGTGCTAAATCTTGACATGTGCTACATCTTTACATGTGCTACATCTTTACATGTGCTACATCTTGACATGTGCTACATCTTAACATGTGCTACATCTTTACATGTGCTACATCTTTACATGTGCTACATCTTTACATGTGCTACATCTTTACATGTGCTACATCTTGACATGTGCTACATCTTGACATGTGCTACATCTTTACATGGTCTACATCTTTACATGTGCTACATCTTTACATGTGCTTTATTGCTGCTACAGCTTTAGTACAA